GTTTCAAGTTGGTATTTTCTCAAAGGATTCCGTTTTCTGAAAAAAAACTGCAAATCTTCCGAAGCTAGCCTCCGAGAAGAGCAGTTCGTTCGGAAATCGTTTCGAGTGTTTTTGCCATTATTCCTTGAACTTCGTCAGCTCTCTCAGAATCATACTAGTTGAAAGACGCGTCCTTGTCTTCAAATCAACGCTGCCGCTTCTGTCTTCTCTACCTTGTCAGAGCTCTGACGACTTTTGTGAGACGCATGTGACGCTGTTTTCGTTGCAGAACGTCTGCTTCGAGAAAAAAAATTCCTTCTTCTCTAGGGTGCTTTGAAGTTGCTCGTATTCCAACATTCCACTTTATATGTTTCTCTTTTTTTCACATTTCCTGACGTTTCGTTCGCACATTGTAGAATGAATTCAGCTTCACCAATTCATCATTCATTAATAGGTTAATGAATTTCTGAAGATCTCGTTGATTCTCTTTTTTTAAGCCGTTTTTAGCTTAGCTTTTAGCCTCGGTAATATCTTCACAGCTTTGGAAGAGAAGTTCTCACACAAGGTTTTTTCGGTTTGTATCCCTCCCCTTTTACACGTTTTTTTTTTCGAGTCCTACCCTACCTGAGATGGTTAGCTTGCCTTTCAGCCTACGCATGATGCAGGTGCCGACCCTGAAACATTTTGGAGGACATGCTTTTACCTTTGTAGGTATGGAACACATAGATATCATAAGCGCATACAGAGAATTACACTTTTTATCACACAACTGCCTCCGCCTTCTTTACGGACCTGGTGTATTCGCACTCACATATGTATATGCAATTACAATTTTGATTTTTCTGTTTTTTTTTTCGAGAATAATTTTAGTGAGGTTGTTACTTTTACCACATTGCTCATTGCTCGTTAAAAGCCACTGCAGCATAAGAAAAGGAGTCGCTGAAGTAGATCAATTGTGAAAATTATAGAACTTAAGCAAAAACCATATTGCCACTAACTGGTGGTCAATCGGCGGTTTGTGACGAAGTAACCCGTTTGTGATAGATTAATCCCTTGCAATTCATCTTTGCCATAACTTTTGCTAAAATCAGTTCATTTGATTATATTTTAATTTTCTCAACTTATTGGTTTTTATCTTCAGGAAAAATCATGATTGAGTCTCTTAGCACCTAGGGTGTTGATTTTAGATGAAGCAGCTTACTAAAGCATTTTCACTTGCAAACTTCGTTCTCAGTTTTTGAAAGGCTCTGTTGGCTAGCTATCCAATTCGAAGGGGCCATAAAATTTCGGTCATTTTAATATCCTTCATGTCATATTCAACACTTTCAGCTGAAATCAGTGGCTCAGATCGCCAATTTTCTACCACTTCCTTCCAGCCATCTATTTGGATGGAAGACCAATAGATGGCTCCAAAGCAGTCATACGATGAATTCCTAATTTCCTCCAATTTTGCAGCTTCATTTCTTAGAAAAATGAAGAATGAGTCTTCAATTTTCTAACGTTTTACCTGCGGATATAATACCGTTACGGACCCTCCGATTGTGAATTTCATACTCAGTATCCAAAAGGGTGTGTGCGCAGTATCTGAGAAGATCATGAAATCACGTTCTTCATAACAGATTTCAAACAGTTCCGGCTGAAAACAGTTATTAAAATCACCGATTTCTTAGGAATTTATTAGCCCTTTCCGAAAAGTGCCCTTCATGAGAAACGTATTAATTTGCCCTAATTCGATGGCTTCGATTGCGAGATACAAAGAACACATTATTATAGATCAGTCGCAGGAATGAGGTCAACACAAAATTGGTCAGCTATGATGTGGCCTAGAAGTGGCCACGGTTGGGAAGTCTTTCTCTCTTCGTTTCATGCGGAATTCCTTCTAACTGGACTCTCAGTTAATTGACCCCTCGATATCGATCTCTATTAGCCCATAGCCTTCGCTATAGCTATGTCCATTCAAGGGTATGCATGTTAACACATACTGGTATGCAGCTGGCAACTGCTACAAGGAAGAGACATAGCTGTGAGAAATACAGTTCAGCTCCGAGCGTCGAATCTACATTTACAACTTTGAATCGCTTGTAACTTCACTTTTTGCTCGTTCGAAATCGCTTTCTTTTCCAACCCCAAGTGTTGAAGCCATGGGAACTCGGGGACATTGGCACTAGGAGCCGGCCCAGTCAGCCAGAGAGCTGCACATTGCTCGTCAACAATGTTTTTACATAATAAGTTTATTTGTACAACTCCACACGAGGTTTACAACACCTCAATGACTGACCTTAGGATAGGAGCCTGACAGGATGGAATCAATTCATGAAATTACCCGATCAACATCCCCCCCCCCCCCCCCTCCCACAATATCTTCGAGACCCACTTGGTCATCGACGTGGACTGGCTGTCACGAGATCAAAATTCATGGTGAAAGGCTAACCCTTCATAGGGGTGAGTTCGCGCTCAACTGACACGCATTCCCCCTTTCGGCTTATTTTTGGATCCATGATCCGGATCCAAAATGCCTCTAGGGTCCTCCCCGCAACTGTTTGTGCCTCATGCGCCAAGACCTCGACCGTGACCCAAAAATCGTCTCTATTATGAGACTGTGTCCTGTGGCAACCTAAGGCAGTTGAGGGGAGCGACCTAGCCTTACCGTTCAAATGATTCAACTGAAACATCTTCAGGTGGTTGGGGAAGTACTACGCGCAGACTAGAGGCCTTGCCATGGGGCTACGACTGGCTCCTACTTTCACTATTGCCTTCATGGTGCTCGAACGTCTCCCTATGCTGGAGAATGGAATTCTGCCCTGGAGAATGGAATTCTGCCCACCCTTTCCAAACGAAAGAACAGTGGTAAGGAGTGTGTTTCGGACTGCTGCAGAAGTTAGCTCTGAAGAGAAGGAATGAAAGGAGCCGTAAACATAGCTTGAAATATCGCTAGGTCAATGGCTACAAACTTCATCCATTTCGGAGAGCCAGAGCAGGTAAAGAGTCAAGCAGAAAAAATGGCAATTTATTTGGTACGAAAATCCCATTTGCTATGCACTTCATCTCCGGTGGAGCGAGCACTTCTAAAAGGAAGTGTCTGAAGAGAGTCTCGAAAACATTGTTGGTATCGTCTAAATCCCTCCTGACAATCTAGAGCGCCGTTCAGTCCGTAATCGCATGTGCGATCGTACAGGTGCAACACCTAAATGTGTGGTCTACCCTAAGGGCAGAGAAGGTGACTGTTGCGTTACTGACGTGGTCTACAAAATCACTTGCCAAAATTGTGGAGACACGTATATAAGTGAGACTGCTAGAAAATTCCATGTACGAATTAGAGAACATTTAAACGATAAGGCTAGGTCGCTCCCCTTAACTGCCTTAGGTTGCCACAGGACAAAACTCATATGGAGACGATTTCGGGGTCACGGTGGAATTCTTGGCTCATGAGGCACAAACAGTCGCGAGGAGGACCCTAGAGGCATTTTGGATCCGGGTCATGGATTCGAAAATGAACCGGAAGGGGGAATGCGTGTCAATTACGCGCGGACCCACCCTCTATATAAGGTTAGCCTTTCACCGTGAATTTTGAACATGAGACAGCCTGTCTACGTCGCTCACGAGGGCCGGTTCTGTTCATCTGGAAGGAGGTACGGTCCTTTTTATCCCCCTAGAATTGTATGGTGATCAAGTGGGTCTCGAAGTATTGTGGGGGGGGGGGGGGGGGGGNGGGTTGGGATGTTGATCGGGTAATTTCATGAACTGATTCCATCCTTTCAAGCTCCGGCGAAGGTGGTTTCACCGAAATGTCAGCCATTAAGGCATTGTAAACCTTGTGTGGAGTTGTACCAATAAAGTTATTCCGAGAATATGCTGAGGTTCATCGAGAGCCGCACGTGAAGAATGTTTTTACAGCGTTTGCAAGCGCTGTGCAACCCTGAGAGTCCCGGTCTTCAGGTTCGGTCCGAGACCTGCAAGCATCAAACGCAAGCACTCCATGAACGCCACTATGCCGGTTAATTCGTTAGCAATTAGAATTAGAACTATTAGAGTTAGATTAGTCCATGTAGTCCATGAGGATGGCCGATTTCTCCAAAGTGATTAGTCATGTTAGCTTGATTTGCCGCACACATGCTACTCTTTCTAAACAGCTCACGTCACCGTCGAAGTGTTGACCGAGTAGTCCAAGTGAACAACACAGTTTTTCCATATCATTATCAGCTGTCAGTTGCTCTTTGTGAATGCCTTTATCCCTTTATCAGGCTGGCCCGTACTGCCAGAAAACATCTGAATCAGTCAAGGGATGTGTATTGTGTGATCTCTTTTGTCTATTGTGCACTGCTAGATAATTGAATAGTTGCGACCATTCGTTTCGGACCAAGTTATCGGGCAGTCAACTAAAGCAGTGATTGACTGTCTCCCCCTTCAAAATTCATCATCTGCATGTATAATTACTGTTCGTGGGTAGTTCTCTTAGTAATATTAAAGCGCTATCCCTCTCCGAAGTCTGGACTCGTAAGTCTTCAGAGGAATATGGAGACGCAGGCTAGGTGGGCCCAAAGGAAATTGAGCGAGGGAACGAATGCTAGCTGTACCACTATCTAACAGGCAGATATTTTGAAAAAACGGCTAAACTATTGAGATGGATGTTTATACACCTTGATCAAACTCAGCTACACGGAAGTCTCTGTACCGACCCTTTTTCAGAAATAAAGTGCCCAATTTCAAACATACATATTTTAGAAAGGGAACGAATATGAACATAGGAGTGACTACTCCAAGCGAGTGCTTTTATTTTGTAAGACAATAGCAAGAGCTAACAGGTTTTCCAGTTGCGACTAGCCTCCACTCTTTAAAACCAAAACAAATTCGATTTACGCGAAATTTAACAAACTTTCAATAAATAGAAAGCTGCAACAAGCTTTTGGTTGTCAATAGGTCGATGGCATTCCAAGTTAAGCCGTGGGCAATCTCGAATTAAACAATGAAACTTTATATCAGCTTGAATTATCGATAATTATATAGTATAGGTCAATTGTAAAATGTTCCGAAATATGCAGATAATCAAGCTTAGGTACGCTAAACTGAAACTTTTAGTTACAGTAAAAAAATAATCCAAAAAACAATTTCAAAACGGAGTGTTAAAGTCATGGTAGCCTCCTTAAGTAGGTGATTGAAAAGGTATATCTGCGTATTTTCTCTCATGTGACACAGGCCTCTCGAGCCACCCAACGTCAACTTTAGTATTGTAATAGAGCAAAAACATAACACCAAGGTTTTTCAAGCGTCACCCTTCTCATTCTATATCAGAATCAAACAACTCTGAAAGCAAAAGTAAAATGTGCGCTGAAAAATTTGAAGTAAAAAACCTTATTGACCTTATACCTACAGTGTATTTTTGCATGCACTTCTCATATCTTTAACTCGAGCCTCGAATGAATGCGAAAGTATTCTCTGTCTAATGCACCTTGGTAAAGAGTTTCAATTTTTTCAAAAACCTATAATTTGAACTGACTAAAAACGTGGAAAGCCCAAGAAAATTCATTACACATCTGGAATTTTTACAATAGGAGTTCTTCGTTGGTTTTTGGAAATCTGGTAGTTTGGAACACTCTTTTCAGCTGAGTTTGTTTGAAATTTGTCCCTGGAGGTATCAAAATAATCATGTTTACATGCTTTTCTCGAGTATGCAGGGTAGCTTGAATATATGGTGCGGTGTCTAAGTACTCTTAGAATTACTGAGTAAACACAGTTCACTATGAAACTTTCAAATAACTGAGCATCACCTACAGAAACAACCATGTAAAGTATGGTTTCCAAGTATCCTTTTTTTTGCCAGAACACAAGCCTCCATGACGTCAATCTTCTTCCATTTTTCTCAAGCGCTGCTTTCGATCCATCCACACTGCGGTGATCAGAAAACGGGAACCGCTGTCCTAGATAGTAACGCACAGAATAGTCCATTGGATTCACGTCAGGACTAGATGTCCGCATATCCTCATCCCAGAATCCAGGATGGCGGCGCTCGCAAAAGGGAATCATCGACTTCAACCCTTGAGCTGGTGCCCGGTCTTGCTGCAATATGGGATTTCGTCCAGCGAAGTGTGTTTGACCCCAAGCATCGAAGCTTCTTTCAGCATACATTTTTACTAGTTTCGGAGTTGATTTTAATATTTCAATGTTGGAGACGAAAAAACTTTTGCTATCAGTTGTTCAGTTGCCCAAACCATCGCTGACTTTGCTAACAGGCTTCTGTTTTTACTCTTCGTTTTCTGGTGGTCTTTTCAGCCTGAGAAAGCAGTTTTCAATGAATTTGGCTGTTGTGGGCAACTTGTACACTGAAGAATTTTTCTTCAGTTTATACGATGTTTGAAAGGTCTCTTCGAACAGCTGGGAAGAGTTCTTCACACTTTCTGAGCCTATACGTCTTCGCAGCTGCGATCAACGTCCGTCCTCGCAAGAAGCGACAACTGTACAAATCCAGGATTTCTTTGACATTATTTTGGACACCTCTGCGCGAAATATTTGAATATGAAGGAATTCTGTTCAAACTGAACTCGTTGGTGCGACAATTATTTCCTTGATAATCTTTCGGACTCGCGGAACACTGACAGCATCACTGGCTGACTTTTATAAATGTCATAAAATGTCAAGGTTCCTTGTATTGTGCCACTGTTCTTCTTGCTAGCCTGTCGCTGATTTTGAGACGGTTGCATTTCTCCTTAAAAGTTGGTCTAGGAGTTTGATATGTTGATAACGTACATGATTTTGCTGCTTCACCCAAGACTTATGTCATACAACTAAGCAGGAATTCGTCTGTCACCAAGAAACATGTCTGAGTGGCGTACCTTTTCTAGCTCTCTCTAAAGCCGCATATATCTTTTAAACACCGAAAACGAATATTTCAGTAGAAGTGGTGGGTTTACGATGCTGTTATCCGCGAGTAACTCCCTAGGTGGTGAGAAAATCATTTTCCATTCCCTCTGAAGACGATTTTGAGGAATGCAAGAAAATGCAGGATTTATCATACATTTGAATTCTCCATTGGCGAAGCTTTCAGCTGATCTTACTTCCAATTCGATTGCGAAACTTTAGCAGAAGCTATGGCAAGCGACGATTGCGATGGATCAATCTGTCGCAAACGGATTAATCCGTCGCAAGCCATCTGTTGGCCTCGAATGTTAGCGGTGTTGTATGGAATCGAACATGGGGGAAGGGCATTCTACGTGATAACACATACATGCATAAGTACATAAGTTGCATAAGTTGATACATAATGACAGTGAAAACTATAAGACGTCACACAAGGTGAGTTATCTGAGGGAAGAATACTATGTTATAGGTGAGTTCATGATTCCAGCACAAAAAACGTCTTCAGGGTGACCAGTAGCTCCAACATTGTCTAGAAGAGATAACTGCGTAACAAAAATGAATGATGACGACCCAACGATTCCAACGGATACAATGTCTTGAGAGGCAATTCATTGTGAAGGGCTCAGCTCAGACAAAGAATAAAAACACGAATTAGCAGAATCATAAGAAAACTGTTGGTCTTAAACAGTATCAGAAGAGGCCGAATCGTCAAAAAGCTCCAACAAAATTTTGTCTCCTGACGCACTTAATTCCATACTTTTTCGAGCACTGTGCTCGAAAAAGTATACTCTCAATATCCCACATTCCTCCAAACTGGATGAGAATGGCAAGCCCAAAAAATACAAGACCTTCTCGTACCTGAACCCAGAACAACAACTTGCTCAAAACGCATTACGACTTCTGCACTTATGACCGCAGTGAATATCAACCGGTGACGAAAAAAATCGAGGTAAAAAAGGTAGCATCGGATTATTCACTAATTAAGGCCGTTATCGAGTTTTCGACAGGCGAAGTGTGAGTGTAGCGACAAGTAGCGCACTATATTACATGCATACTTTGGGAATATCGGCTGAACAACGCGAACCGTTGTAGAACGGGAGTCGAATCCGGGCGCATGACAAAAACGAGACTAATGCCAAAGACTCGATTCCTTCATCGAGTAATCGGTTGATCACGCAAAGCGTCCAGCTACTGATAATCTGGAGCTGGAGTGGGATTGAAGGCTCCACAGCATTTGCCAACAAAGGACTGAAAACAGGCTATTTACAGGTCGACGTAGATGGCAATGGAGAAATTGATTTTGAAGAGTTCTGCGCTTGCATGAAAAAGTCTCGGAATATTGTCAGATCCACTAAAGAGGAATTAATCCGTGAATGCTTCGACATCTTTGATCAAGACCACAATGGAATGATCTCTGAGAGCGAGTTTAAGGTTAGCTTTCTCATTTCTCTTTAGATAGTGCCAGTCTGTCGTGATGTTCCTTCTTTCAGTACGTTGCTAGGGAGTATGGAGATTTCTCGGAAGAGTTGGCCGAGAAAGTGTTCAGAGAAATGGATGTTTCCTCTATCGGACATTTATCTGCTGATCAATTTGCAACAGTTATCGAGGACTATTTGGTCTATGACTCAGCCAGGATTGACATTGGCATTGAGTCAGAGTGCCACTAGAAATAGAAATGAGATTTTAATTAATGGAGGAGATTTTGTAAATTTTTAGGGTCGAAACATCTGTAGAAGACACTATGTGCAAGGGAAAACAGCACCAAGGTATCGAGAGAACATGAAAGAAGTCACAATAAACAAAATGGTTGTAATTGCAACAGAGTTGGATATCGTAATCCTTTCGTTGATTGTTTAGGTGTTTTACAAAGTCATACTGCGGCTCAAATATAAAAGTTAGGGGTTTATGATCTTTTAAACTAAAGTGTCCAGAAACCCACTACGACGAAGTGGTTCGATAAATTGATGACTGAGAGACAGTTTATTCCGCTAACTGCTTGTAGAAAAGGGTTGCACTTCTAAACGCCCTCTAACTTTCTATTTGCCGTCACTTATCACGATTAAGAGTATCTATAATTTTCACACTTATCGATTCATCATGTTGAGACCTTACCGTAGAGTTTTGCTTTTAACTGCTCTTTCCACTTGTCTTTGCTTGTAGAGCGACCTGTGTGCTCTTCGTTCCATCTCTTAGGAATACGAAACAGTCTCAAATATCACTTTCTCCAGGGTATACTGTTTGACTGCTTGATATGAACAAGGACAGAGCTAGTCTCACTAGAAGATGTCAAAACAGTGACCAAGAAGAATGGCACGCAAAGCTTGAACAAGCGTTCGCTGAGAATCCCGAAGTGGCTACGTTCAGGTTTCGGTAAAAATTGGAATTTCTCCTTTGCAAATGCAGAGGATTCAATCGAAGTTGTATTCTTCTCTCCATATAAAAAGACCTTTGAGAACGTTGAAGAACCATTGCAGGTTGATGTAAGCGCTGCAACTACCGAGCCCTGAAGAGCGTTATTCTTTTTCTGTCAATGGCACAGGAGTACTATACAATACTGCTCCTAATTTTTGTTCAACCGACGGTTTGCGACGGATTAATCCATTGCAAACCATCGCATCGCCATAACTTTTGTTAAATTGTTTTGATCACGATGAAGGTAAGATCATCGGAAAGCTCTTGTCGTGATGAATCCAAATATGTAATGATCTCCCGATTTTCTCAATTTTTCGCCTTCCCCTCTGGGAAAAACGAAAACTGAGTCTCTCAGCACCTGGGGTGTTACTTGCGGGTATGACAGCATCGTAAACCCTCCACTTCAATTGCAAACTTCGTTTCCGGTTTTCAGAGGGCCTGAATCGTGCTATAACTGAGGAGAGCATAGAGCCCTGATCATTTTGATACCCTTCATGACATAATTTAAACACATTCAGCTGAAAACAGCGGTGCAAAGCAAATTACTAAGTTTTTAGACATCTGTTGTTTCTTTCAGCCACGTATTTCATATGACGACCGTATGATTGCTTGTGGAGAACCCTGTCATGTCATGAATTCTCAATTTCTTCAATTTCGCAGCATCATTTTCACGGAGGTCAACGAGTGAGTGTTCAGCACCTGAGGTGCTTCCTACAGATATAGCATAACCTAAGCACCTCAAACTCTCCACTTCATTAGAAATCTTCATTTTGAGCTTTAAAGACATTGGGAATATGGAAAAATGAAATCATATTTATTTGGATAACCCTAATGATACAATTCGAAAAATTCCAGCTGAAAACAGTGATTTCAAAAATCAACTTTTCCAGAATTTGCTATTTTAGAAGTGCACTTTTCCAGGAACACATTATTCTGCATTCACTAAGACTTTCATAATGTGATCTGATATTCTGATAATAGAGGGATGAATGGTCTCCTAATCGGACGTTGAGCTAATTGACCCCTCACCATCGATCTCTATTGGCCCATCGCCTACGCTATTGCCGAGTCCTTTTAAGAGTACGCCTGTTGACACATATTGGTATGCACCTGGCAGAATGAAACGACCACGCCATGATAAATACAGTTGGACTGTGTATGCAAAGTTTAGTTGTACTACCCTAAATCGCGTGCAAATTTTCGCTTGTTTAAATTCCCATTTCACGGAAACTGTGGGGCACTCACAATAAAACAACGGCCAAATTAGCACAGAGAAGCACTGATTGCTTGTCAGCACTGTTGTTTCAACATTTGCAAGCGCTGTGCCCGAATGAGGATCCGAACCCATGTGGAGTCCAGGTCGGGTGTAAACATGATATGCACGCAACTTAACTAACTTAACTTGATTACATTTCAATCAACCATTCAACAGTGGTTTAGGCTGGCTGCGGTAACAGTAGGCGAAGACCGATTGATTTCTGACCTGTCAGGTCACGTTGCGATGTCATGATTCACACGCTATTTATCACACATTTATCACAATTCAAATATATGTAGTAGTGACATAATATGTACAATAATATATATATATGTTCCACTGACTAATGGTTAATAGTGGAGCTAGTGACTTTACCCCTCGTTATCGATCTCCTCAGGACTCCCTATGTCTGCAAGGCCATTTTGCTTGAGCCACATGAGTGCAATCAACCCAAAGACGTCTTGTACTGTAGTTATATTCGGCATTATCCAGGCAAACTATGCTGTAAGTGAGCTAAAATTTGTAATGTAAAGAGACGCTAGTAAAAGGCTTGAATGGAAAGAGCTTATCAGGCAGATACACCTTCCCTGATTGTATACAAGCCAAAAGCATGGAAGCGTTGAAACCGGTTGATAGGAATAAAAGAATCATTCCTTTTTTTGAAACTGCCTCTAAAACTGCAAGGTGGTCGTCTATAAGATCAAAACTAATTGGTCCATCTTGTAATAAAATATAGTTTTTGTGTTTCGAGCACAATGAGCTTTAATAATACTAGGGAGTGAATCATGTCGTAACGTGACCTGGAAGGTCAGAAACCGATCGGGCTTCGCCTACTGTTACCGCAGCCAGCCTAAACCACTATTAAAGGCACCGTTCACAAAAAAGTTAGGGTACCCTTTCTTGACGAGAATTGATAGAACTACTTCAGAATAAAGCGATAACAACGGAAATAGCGCAAAAAACGATGAACAAAAAGAATAACAAAGGGTCAAAAAAAGAGCTGGGAAGGGGGTTGGACGAGTTTCACATTGAAAGAACGGCGGTTAGGGAGTGTTCGGGCGAGCGCACGAAGGCGACGCAATGTGTATCTGCTATTGCAGACAACACATTGCGTCTCTGGCAGTTCGCCAACCAGCGTATCGATTTTTCACCAACTTCGCTCCAGTGCGAATGTGGTGGAGGACAATTAGGACTCGTAGTCAGCCTAGCGAGGGCAGAGGCCTTCCGCCCCCCACTGTTCCTGCCCTTATTGTGCCCTATCCAGCCGTTTTCCGACTTCATTCCTGTACAAATGGTATCAGAGGGGGCTTCGCATTCAAACCATGTGCAAATCTCCAAAACCACTTTTTCGTAAACAGTGCCTTCAAATGGTTGATTGAAATGTTATCAAGTTTAGGCGGCCAATGGCGCAGTTGGAGTGCGTGCATATCATGTTTACACCCGACCTGGATTCCACATGGGTTCGGATCCTCATTCGGGCACAGCGCTTGCAAAAGTTGAAACAACAGTGCTGACAAGCAATCGGTGCTTCTCTGTGCTAATTCGGCCGGTGTTTAGTGTGAGTGCCCCACAGTTTCCGTCAAATGGGAATTTGAACAGGCGAAAATTTGTACGCGATTTATGGTAGTACAACTAAACTTTGCATACACATTCCAACTGTATTCATCATGGCGTGGTCGTTTCATTCTGCCAGGTGCATACCAATATGTGTCAACAGGCGTACTCTTAAATGGACTCGGCAATAGCGAACGCGATGGGACAATAGAGATCGATGGTGAGGGGTCAATTAGCTCAACGTCCGATTAGGAGACCATTCATCCTTCTATCATCAGAACATCAGATCACATTATGAAAGTCTTAGTAAATGCAGAATAATTTGTTCCTGGGAAAGTGCACTTCTAAAATAGCAAATTCTGGAAAGGTTGATCATCGAAATCACTGTTTTCAGCTGAGAGTGTTTAAATTATGTCATGAAGGGTATCAAAATAATCAGAGTTCTATGTACTCCTCAGTTATAGCACGATTCAGGCCCTTTGAAAACCGGAAACGAAGTTTTCAATTGAAGTGGAGGGTGCACGATGCTGTCATATCCGCAAGTAACGCCCCAGGTGCTGAGAGGCTCATTTTTTTCCCGGAAAGGAAGGCGAAAGTTCCAGAAAATCGGAAGATCACTACATATTCAGATTCTACACGAGAAGAGCTTTCCGATGATCTTATTTCAGCGTGATCGGAACAATTTGACCAAGGTATGGCGCTGCGACGGTTTGTGACGGATTAATCCGTCGCAAACCGTCGGTTGACAGAAATTAGGAGCAGTATTGTACGGGCACCACATCAATTGATGTCCTCGTTAATACGAGTCAACACATCTACTCCTTATTTCTACGGTCCCTGCATTCAACTAGATCGTCACTGCATATTTTAGTTACCATTATCTTATACATCGACACCCAAAAATCATCATTTGCATGTTTTGCATTTGTTTAATCTAGTTTGTAGCCTTCAGACCTCTGGATATGCAAGCAGTTTAGGGTGTTCCCTCCGAGATGACATCATTGGAAAAAGATGTATAGATACGGCTGTATTTTCCAAACGTACTTTAGGTAGATTAGGTTTATTTTGATTTTATACATTCTGACATGGTATCTTGGAACGCAAAATGGTAATAAAGTCGCGTATTCAACATATTTTTCTAGGCTCAGCTGAGCCTAACAGCGCTGCGAACTGTAATTGCATCCCCTGCTATCGAGTGTCAGTAGAAATCGATAGGTCACACAAAAAAGAGATATTCAATTGGCGAACTACAACATCCTTCATTTACGAGAACATGTCTTTGCATCCTGAGCAGTCTCTCACCACCACAATTGATGCCAGAAAGTTGCGCCGCTACTTCTCAACAAACCTGAAGAGAGTTTGATGAATGAAAAAGTTTGTATCGTTCGTCAAAGTTCCTATTAAAAAAGGTCAGGTGAGACCGCATGTAGATTGAATCTTTCA